AGACTTAACTCAGAAAGGAATTCTGTACTTTTATTCAAGGTCTCTTTAATATTTGTTCAAAATACTGTTTTTCTTGAACTGTACAATAGAGGCTCTGTAGAGATTTCTATTCCCCTTGGTGATTTTTGTTCTGTTTTGTGATATTCATAACATTTTTCTTTCATACAGAAAATTGCAGAAGAGACCTGTAAGCTGAACTCCACTTTGATCTGGAACTTCACACAGTATTTATATGCTAGCTTGCTGTCTCCCTAGAGGCTCCTGAACTTCTAGAATAAATTTTCTACCTCTTTAGTAGAACATGTATTACCAAGCAATTGGCTGCTTATTGGATTTTGGTGACAGTCCTGGGTATCTGTGTTTCAAGAGCGTAGGCTCACAGTGTCCCATGCTAAGCCTGGGCTCACCGGCCAAGTTTAGAGAAGTGGTCCATGTTTTATTTCACGTTACTTTTGCACATGCACTCCCCGAATATAGTATAGTATGCATTCAAAAGCTGCTAGGGAACCACTTTCATCATGGCTTTGCATTTATTATATTTTCTGGCTATTTAAAGGCATAAAAAATAAAAGTGCTTTTGGTGTTCATGCCACCATCATCAATAGGACTCAGAAAAGTGAAGAAAAAGTGAAGTCCTTCTTGACTGATATATTTAGAAGTCTGGCCCCCTGCATGTACACGTCCCCTTCTCTGCCACCAGTCACTGCTGTCTTTTACATACGGCATATATTGATTCTCTGATTGTGTTACATTCGTCGTTGCCTTCATGCTGCACTCCATGTAGTTCCTTTTGCCTGGAATCATAATACCTATAAATTCATCTATAGAATGATTTACAGTTTAAAAGTCCTTTCATATATATTTGATTGTAATATTTCATGGAGGAGACAATTGAAAATCACAGAAGTTTATTTGCTCAAGGACACAATGATGGATTTGTCTGAGTGACACATTAAGGTCACCATCTGGGTCACCACATCCAAGCCTAGCTCTGCTTTCAACGTGCCAGGCTGTATTCCTTTTTTTATTGGTCTTTTCCTAAGCACTCTCTCACCCTGTGATTGAATTCTCTAGGCTAACCTGAGTTCCCGCCTCTGAGATAGTGACCGTATCCTCCGTGTATCACATACTACCTTTTTTTTGGTTGCTTTTGTTTATTTCTCGAGTGCCTGGCTCGGCCTCCCTCCTTGTGTCACGACACTGGGAGGCTCTACTACCTGGGATGCAGCGTTCCAGCTGTTGTTGCGATGGTTTATTGACTGATTCTTTGTGAGGGACATTTGTCTCTGCTCCTTCTAGGCAGCCTGTCCTCTTGATCATCCAGCTGACCTCCCAACAAACTTTTCAGTTTGTTGCAAAGAACTCTTTCGTTTATGTTCCCAACCAGGTGACAGGTTGTTCACAGGCACAGAGTTGTCCCCCCTCCAGAAACAGTAAATTCCATGATTTTACCCTCTTACGAGTCATGCAGCATCAGACCTCTCACTTCTCAACCTCATCACCTCTCCACTGGCGTTGGCACAGCACGTATATCTTGTCTTCATCATGAAGACATCTTGCTTTAGGCTTTACCCCTCCTGCACATTTGCCCTCCTTCAATCCACCTTTTTCTATAAACACAGAATTGTACCCCCCCCCCCCACATTCGCTCACCTGGCTAAAATCATTTGGTGAATCTTGATTGACTTCAGGATCCCTAGGGCGCTGCGAAGACCCTTCACAGTTCTTCCTTCATTTCACCCTTGTCCTTATACGTCGTGTGCACGACACACACATAAGCATGCACAGTTTCACGTGATTGACGGTTCTGAATCCTGCAGAACTCTGCAGAGACAGCAAAAGAGATCTCTGGCTGCTTTGCCTGTTTCTACCGCTGGACTAGTCCCCTGTGCCCCTCTGTAGTCAGCATAAACTTAACTCTGACCTGCATGTCTGATCCTGGGAGGTGATCACAGAGCAGGTTTGGCATCATGATTATTGGTGTTAGGCCCTGCTTCCCTGTACTCTGTATCCTAATTTGGCGTGGTTAACTTGTCCAGCTTTCTTGGGCGGTGTACATCATACATTTTTCAGTTTGTTGCAAAGAACTCTTTCATTTATGTTCCCAACCAGGCGACAGGTTGCTCACAGGCACGAAATTAAAGTATTTCTTCTGAACCTATTCAGCATCTTGTAGAATGTCAAGTACATAGGTATCAAGGAGGGGCTCATATATGCATTTGTTCAGTTAAGGTGGAAGCTAATTAATGAAGTTCCTTGAGAAAGGTGCCCTTTCATAGGTCTGTGATACCTACCTTAGCACTTCGGGGGAAGCACAGAATTTTTGCTCAGTAGGCGGTGTGGGCAGGGGCAGTGGGGTGAAGGAGAACTAACAGAAACATAGTGAGTGACCCGAGGCTCTAATACTGGGTAAAATGCATCGATTCAGTGTCTTATACCTTCATTGGTCAGCCTCCCTTAAAGGCTGATGCTCCCATTCTGGAAGTATCAAAGCTGCAGGCTCTGGAAGAGCTGGAGTTTTTTGCAAGCTTTTCTGGTGGAGAATATGTTTTCTCCATTATCTTTTTTTTTTTTCTGTGTTTATCTGAATAGTTGTTAAATATATTTCAATAGGCTTTATTTTAGTCCAAGCCACTGGGTAATTTCCCCACTAAAATATTGGGAAGGAATCTCTGACAACATGTATGCTAGGATACATGGCTTGTTTTATTCTCAAATTCATATTAAAGAACCATAAACACCTTCACGTTATTACTTGTACCAAGTGATCCTTATTCCCCTCTTGCCTCTTTTTAATATGTATTTCACTTTCATAAAATATGGCTGGGATTGAAATTGTACTATATTGCTTGGGAATATAGTATTCAGTTGAAACCAATATTTAATAGTTTGACAGTTAGAATTGGAGAATCAATGGATCAACTTTCTTCTGTACCTTCCAGTCAAGCTGAATCAGTTGAACACATCCATGTACAGATGAACTGGTGGATAGCTTCTTATCTCATTGAAATCTGGGAACAAGTAATTCAAAATTTTTTATTTGAATGAGGAAATAATTTAGAATCTAACAGTCAAACTATACAACCTAATTCTTTTATTTTTTTAAAAAAGATTTTATTTATTTATTCATGAGAGACACAGAGAGAGGGAGAGGCAGAGACACAGGCAGAGGGAGAAGCAGGTTCCATGCGGGGACCCGATGTGGGACTCGATCGCGAGATCTGGGGATCATGACCTAAGCCAAACGCAGATGCTCAACCACTGAGCCACCCAGGCATCCCCGACCTGATTATTTTCTTAACATTATTTTTAACAAGTGTTAGTACCTTACAGAGATATATAAATTCTTAGATGTAAACAAAGAAATAAAACGGTAAGAATCATGGCAAAGGGAATTTAATTTAGAAAAATAAAGTGAGGCTGGGGTGAGATTCTTTTCTTTTCTTTTTTTTTAAGATTTTATTTATTTATTCATAGAAACAGAGAGAGAGAGGCAGAGACACAGGCAGAGGGAGAAGCAGTCTCCATGCAGGGAGCCCAATGTGGGACTCGATCCCTGGTCCCCAGGATCACACCCCAGGCTGCAGGCGGCGCCAAACCGCTGCGCCACCAGAGCTGCCCTGGGGTGAGATTCTTAAGCAGAGCATGTACCATTAGGTTCTGTAGTTATTTAGTGGTGGCCACTAACATCCAACACAAAGGGGAGGTTTTTATGTGAACACTATTGTCTACTGGATAAACGCAAGCCAGAACATGTGTCTTTCTGGTATATAAGAGAGACATTTGGCTAGTGTGTCCTCAACGATGGGAATTTAAAAAATTTCTTGAGCAATATCCTCCACAAGAAATGTGATAGAACATATGATTCTGTATGACCGGCATCCACTCAGTGCAGTTCTGTGGGCCTGTTTAGTGTTGCCCCAATGATACAACTGGTAAAGGTGGGTTTTTTTGTTTTTGTTTTATTTATTTATTTATTTATTTATTTATTTATTTATTTATTTATTTATTTATTTATTTATTGTGGGAAACTGCTTTTTCTTTATTTAGGCCTTAGGAAGAAAATTAACTTTGGTCACATAGTACCTTAAAAAAAAATCCAGTTTTACATATTCCTAAATAGATAGGAGCACATGATCAGATAAATAATTTCTTCTGTAAAAATTGGCCAAATTTTATCAAAAACCTAACATACAATGTAATTCAAATTATATAAAGACTGCTTGGGATCATCACATTCCAAATGTATGACAGTTGCAACTCCATCCTGACTGGTGTGAAAGTATTTGCTCTCATGTTGCTTTTGTCCAAAAGAGTAGAGCTGATCAGTAAGAATAAATGAAGTACCTAATTTTTTGCAAACAATTTAGTTATTGGCAGCAGAAATATCCATGATGAATAGTTCTACTACAGCAAAGTATAATAACTGAATATATTTCATGAACACATCACAGTATCAGATACACTTATAAGAGAAAAATATGGGGATCCCTGGGTGGCACAGTGGTTTAGCGCCTGCCTTTGGCCCAGGGCGCGATCCTGGAGATCCGGGATCGAATCCCACGTCGGGCTCCTGGTGCATGGAGCCTGCTTATCCCTCTGCCTGTGTCTCTGCCTCTCTCTCTCTCTCTCTGTGTGTGACTATCATAAATAAAAATAAATAAATAAATAAATAAATAAAAATAAGAGAAAAATATGAAGGAACAAAAAAGGTGAAACAGCTACCACAAAAAAGAGTCTCCTCCATAACTATCTGAAGGGTAAGAAAGGTGAGATTAGAATTTGATGATGCTAATATGAAAGGAAATTGAGTATTGTATTTATTTCTTATTTTATACAACTCTTACTCTTTACAAAAATGGTTATAGTCATGCCCATAAAAGTGTAATCCATGGCATCTGAAAGGAAACACTCTTTGTAATTATTTAAAAGGGCCTTTAAAAAATTATAATACAAAGGTCTGTGCTCTATAAGCAGTCCTCCACTGTGCATTATAACAATAAGGCTTACTTTTAATACAAAGACTAAGTGCTTGGGAGTTATGAACCACTGGATTTAACAAACATCATTTTATAGTTGCTTTTTGCATCTTTTTTGTTTTTGGGATCCTCCACTTCATCTGGATGCTCAGTAGCTTGGAGTTCTTCAGCAGACTCTTCTTTCTCTGACTCTGAATCACTTTCAGAGTCATCTGGACTTTCAGGATCAGGTGAATCGTCATCATCATCATCGTCATCATCTCCAGCCACATCACCTTCCCCGTCATGATCTTCTACCTCGCCGAAGCCAAGTCCACGATGTCGTCGATATCTTCCTGATAATTTACTGTCCATACTTTGCTGATATTGAGACTCCAGTTCTTCATTATTTTTCTTGTCTTCTTCCCCTGTTCGGAAGTGAGATGTTGATTTGTGGTCTCCTGTAACAAGACTGCCAGTATGTTCTTTCTTTCCTGCACCCATAAGTCTCAAGAACTTCTGTTTTCTTTCTTCATTACCTAAGTCTGCTGCTTCCCAATTGCTAGATCCAAGATCTGGGGAGGCTGAACGCTTCACCCCATGCGGATGGGACTCCCTGGCAGCACTCATCATTGCTGGGACCCCCAGCAGCAAACGCCGAACCCCCTCGCTGTTCTCTCTTCAGCAGCGGCGCCAGCAGCCTGCAACCTGCCCCCGGCCCGAGCAGCACCACTCCAGAACGCAGAGCCCCTCCATGCCTTCTCCTTGTTTCTGTTTTAAAGATGGATTGATTGATTTGAGAGAGAGTGGAGGTGCAGAGGGAGAGAATCTTCAAGGATTCTCCCTTCCCAGTGGAGAACCCGACACAGGGCTGGATTCAGGGATAGACAAGGGGTTCGACAAGGGGCTCTGCAACAGGACTCATGAGATCCCAACCTGAACCAAAACCAAGAGGCAGAAGCGTAACTCACAGAGCCACCCAGGCACCCCTACGGTAAAGGTTGAACAGCCTGTTCTCTGGTGAGGATGGGGGAAAACCCTCACTGAAATACTCATCCATTTTCATGGTGTAAATATTTCCCCAAATGCTGATTTCAATGTCACCGAAGACAGCTGGAAGGAGACGAGACATGCCACCCCACACACATCACCATGTGGCTCCATCCTGGCTCCATCCCATACTGGATAGAGACTCGCAGGACTGGATAGCTGATTCATTACACTGGCGAAGGCAGGATCCACCCATACTTTTTTACTAAACCAATTTTTTAAAATTTTTATTTATTTATGATAGTCACAGAGAGAGAGAGAGAGAGAGAGAGAGAGAGAGGCAGAGACATGGGCAGAGGGAGAAGCAGGCTCCATGCAGCGGGAGCCCAATGTGGGATTTGATCCCAGGTCTCCAGGATCGCGCCCTGGGCCAAAGACAGGTGCCAAACCGCTGCGCCACCCAGGGATCCCTACTAAACCATTTTTTATTGTTATTACTATCAAACTGCAGTGATTTGGAATTACGTCTCTTAATAATCACTTGGAATGAAGTTACATTTTATCACAGGTTAAGAGCGGAGCCAAGTGATTTAATAATCAGGTGTATCAGAGGTTGATTGCCAAAAATAAAAACTGAGAACCCTTAAAATGACCTCCACCTGAAAAGATTTTACTTTACCTCTGTGGTGATCAAGATACATGAGAGCTAACATTATATGTGAGCACGGGTTTGAGGCCAGACACAGTTTTTGTTGCTTTCCTGTATTAGCTGGGTTCAGTACAATCAGGATCAAAATAATATTGTTATTATTATGTATTATTTCTTTTACTGCAAAGCTCTAGCTGGGGAGTTGCACGGCTGAGATTTGAACCTGGGTCACCTGGTTCTGTAAGTCTACCATGTTCCAGTTTTTAAAAACATATTTTCTACTAGCTATTGCACATTTGTTGAATAAAGCAAAGGACACAAGATATTTAAATAAGCTATTTTTTAAAAAAATGGACTTATTAGATTCTCCTTTCCTCTGTGAACTCCAGGATTAGGTACAGTGTGTAGCTCATTGGCATAAATAGAAAAGCTGTCCCTTGCTCTTGCTGTCCAGATTTAGCCTGAAGAGCAGGGATGCCGAGTGTGGGCTTTGCCTTGTGGTGGATTATCTCTGCGTCAAGAACCCCCTACCCTTCTTTCAGGCATTGAACCATTTTTGCCTCCCTGGCTTGCATTCTAAAAAATTGCAGTTTGTCTTGGACTCTTGAAGACAGAGGATGTCTTATCGATGGTAGTGGTCATCATCGCTCCTTTTGACGTAAATAACGTCAGGCCCTCGCAGCTCCCTGCACAGCTTGCTCTGTACTTCTCTCCTTTGTTCAGGGTCTGCATGCTGAGATAAGGCGGTGCTCTCACCCCAGTTAAGCAAAAAATGTCTAAATTCCAAATTATGTTTAAGACCCAAGGAAATAGAGGGATCTGAGGCCCTGTCACCGGGACATAGTTGAACTTCGAAGGCTGACCTTCAAGGATAACCAGAGAGACCTAATAGGCTTACTTTACAAGCCACCCCTGCTCTCAGAAAATAGAAAGGTATCACCTTCTTTAATGTTGGAAAGGAGACCAGAAAGGATGATATCTGTCTCTCTCAAGAGATGACCGACTGGCTCACTGTGTCAGATTCGCTAATCTTCATACTTCCTAGGACTTTCCTTGACTCTCTAGGTGAGAAAATAACAGATGGCCCTTGGGTGTTTAAATTTGCTAGTCATTGTCCTGAATGCTTTGCACACATTTTTATTATACCTCTATTCGTACTATTATCTTCATCTTACAGATGGAGAAACTGAGGCATAGATGAGGAGACATGCATCAGCTTATACAGCCCTTCAGTGTTCAAACTGGGATTTGAACGGGGACAGTCTGGCTGCAGGGACTACACACTTGGCCACTGGAGAAGGCTGCCTAGTAGACTTTCAGAGACGAAAATGTTCTGTCCTAAACCAGAGCCTTAGACACAGTGGCTATTGAGCCACTGAAATGTGGCCAGTGCAGCAGAGCAAATGGATTAGTTTATTTTAATTATTCTAAGTTACTTAAATAGCCACATGTGACTAGAGTCAATCTTGTTTGTGTAGCTCTAGACTCTCCTCCCTAAGAGGAGTGAAAGTACACAGTAGGTTGAGAAGAAAAGCTAAGGAAATTTAGTAGTGCAAATTTTTTTTTTGAAGGTTTTATGTGTTATTCACGAGAGACACACAGAGAGGGCGAGACACAGGCAGAGGGAGAAGCAAGCTCCCTTCAGGGAGCCCAATGAGGGACTCGATCCCAGGACCCTGGGATCATGCTCTGAGCCAAAGGCAGATGCTCAACCAGATGCCCCACAGTGCAAATTTCTATCACCCAGTTGTCATTGCTGCCCGTGTTTATCATGACTGTTAAAAAAAAAAAAAAAAAAAGAGGATTGTAAACCAACTGGGTTAACCTAACCCTTTTAACAGTCACCATGCTAGCATCAATATACACCATCTGTTGCACGTGCCCAGCAGACCTCAGTGTTCTGTAGCGCATTACAATTAAGGCAGTGATGCTGTATCAATGAAGAGGAATGACAGTTAAGGGAAGCATCCATTCAATTCTTGCAAATCCTGCTTTGCAGGCATTTGGCTTCCTTGCGGCAAGAAAGTTCTCTTTTCACAACTCTTTGTACTACGTATCTTAAAATGGAGATAATTTAGGTTTCTGAAAATGCTATTTCCTGAGCCATTTTCACATCTAGTGCACAAATTATTATTCTCTTAGAATGCTTCTCTGTGGAGAATTGTCATGATCTGGCAAAGGTTCCAACATAGTATACTTAAAGGCTCTTCAGCCTCAAAAACTATATAGAATTCTGGGAACAGTTTGATATCGAATAAAATTTCCCTGCCCTTCGATATCCTCCTTTATTTCATACGTTCAGGAGTGTAGATCTTAAGAAAGCATGTGGCAGTCTTTGGTCAGAGCAGAACCTTCCGTGACGTAACTGTCGTAATCAAGATCAGTCACCCCAGGGAGCATGGTGACTCCCTTCTCTGCCCACTGAGTTGAGCTGTGAGCACCAGCAAACAGCTGGGTGACAGTTTTAACCTCTAGTCCAGTGAAGTTGCTGTCGTGTCTCCTGATCGAAGCATTCCTCTCTGTGGAACTGAGACCCCCTCGGCCAACAAAGCGTATGGTGCTAAGGACAGGAAGCAAAACCTGTGCTGTACCTCACCAGGTGGAACAGTGAGTCTCCGCCCCGCGGGTTCGGGCCCCGTGGACGGGAAGACACAGCACCACATCTCGGAGGCTGCCTCAGAGCGAGTGCGGCCTCCTGGAGAAGCCAGGGCCCCAGCTCTGCGAGGTTTGGCCACCTAGTTGGCACCGTTAACCGGGTCTTCGGGAGACTGGGCCACTGTTCTGTCGAGCCAGCAGCTCCAGTGGTGGAGAACTTGGTAAGCCTGAGTTTCATGAGCACAGGCCCATTGCCACACTTCGTTGGCTTTGACCGGAGTCCCTTTATCAGAAGCAGTGGCGGTTGGACCAGCAGGACAGTGCTAAGGTGTTTGGAAGTCCCTGGGTGGTGGTTTGGGCAGACGTATTATACACACAAGCAAGGTAAATCCATATCAGGTAAGTGATTGGATTGGCCTTCTTACTATTCCAGTAAGAACAAAATGCTACTCCTTCCATGATGGACGGGATCCAACATAATCAGCCCGCCACCACGAAGCCCGCTGGCTCGTGGCTCCAGGAACCAATAGCACATTGGGCGCACACCGCTGGCTGATGCTTCTGACGGATTGGGCACTTAGTGCTGTACCCAGGTCAGCCTTGGTGAGTGGAAGTCCACGTGGCCGAGCCCATGTGTAACCTACGTCCCTGCCACCCAGCCTACTTTGTTCATTGTTTCATTGGGCGATGACAGGAGTGGCTGGGGGAGAGAGGCTGACTGGTTCCACAGAACACATCACCCTACTAGAAGCATAGTCATCAGCGCCCTTAAATCTAATCAAACTAGAAAGCCAATCACAGAAACTCCAGAACTGTTTCAAAAGAGTCACTTTAAGGTTCTGTTCTTCTAGAACCACTCTCAGTTACCCAAATCTGTATTAGGGTTCTCTGAAGGAATGGAGCCCTATATATGGTTATATATCATATAGTTTATATGATATATAAATCTTATGTGTATATATATGTATATATGTATATACATACACATGTTACATAGTATATGGATCATATATATGTCAGATATGTATGAAGGGGGTTTCTTATGCAGACTTAGCTTATGTTTTATGGACGCTGACAAGTCCAAAGCTTCATTGTGGGCAACCTGGAGACCCAGCAGCGTCTATGGTGCAGATGAAGTCCAAGGGCAGTCTGGTAAGAAAGTCTTTCTTGCTTGGGGAGGCTAGTCCTTTTGCTCTGTTCATGCTTTCACAGAATGGAAATGGAATGGAGGGCAGGTTGGTTACCCAGAGGTCACTGATTTAAATGTCAGTGTCATCCAAAAGCATTCTCCGAGATGACAAATAAAATTAGCCATTGCAGTAATACTAATGTGAAGACTTACACAAAGCTACATAATTCTGGGATCTGGGATAGAACCAGAATATTTTTTTCCCCC